TGTTACTCCAAAAGCTAAATCTACACCTACCTTTCCTACACCATCTGATCTCATTGCAGAATACAACGCAATCAATCCTCAGTTAACTACTATTAGTAAACTTTTCAAGTATAATCTTTCAAAATTACATGATGAATGAAGGACTAGTCACTCGACCCTTCGGTCAAGAGGTTCAATTTAAATTCCTAAGTCCTCCTTCTCGAAAAGAATTAAAATCAGTCATTGATTCTTCAGTAACAAAGTCAATAAATTTATTACAGAGCAAGACTTAACAATTGAATTTCTTAAAAGAAAAAGTCAATTATAAACGCATTGATGATCAGTTAACTGATCCAATGCTCCAACAAAAAATTCAAGATTTCGAACAACAAATAAAAAATCAGATTTGTTCTGATCTACCAACTGCCTTCTGGCATAGAAAAAGACATTCAGTTAAGTTACCTTACATCAAAGGCTTTAGGAGAAGACACATTCCTATTAAAGTAAGACCAATTCAGATGAGTCCCGAAGTCATGGAATTCTGTAAAAAAGAAATTAATGATCTTTTACATAAGAAGATTATTAGAAAAAGTAAGTCCCCATGGTCCTGCCCAGCTTTCTATATTCAGAAAAACTCTGAAATAGAAAGAGGAGTTCCTCGTTTAGTCATAAACTACAAACCACTCAATAAGGTTTTAGAATGGATTAGGTACCCTATCCCTAATAAGAAAGGCCTTATTAGCCGCCTTAGTCAAGCAGTCATCTTTTCCAAATTTGATATGAAATCAGGATTTTGGCAAATCCGTTTAAAAAAAAAAATGATAGGTATAAAACTGCCTTTACCACCCCCTTTGGTCATTATGAGTGGAAAGTTATGCCCTTTAGATTGAAAAATGCCCCCAGTGAATTCCAGAATATCATAAATGACATCTTCAATCCTTACAGTCATTTCTCTATTGTCTATATTGATGATATCCTTCTGTTTTCAAAATCACTTGATGAGCATTGGAAACATTTAAAAACATTTCTTGCTGTCATCCAGAAAAAATGGTCTTGTAGTCTCTGTTTCTAAAATCAAGTTATTTCAAACAAAAATCCATTTTCTTGGTTATTATATTCACCAAGGACAAATTCGTCCTATTGATCGCTCAATCCAATTTGCTGATAAATTTCCAGATGAAATCCTTGAAAAGTCACAACTCCAAAGGTTCTTAGGATCCCTCAATTACATTGCTGATTTTTACAAAGATCTTCGCAAGCAATGTAAACCACTATTTGAGCGCCTTCGAAGTAATCCTCCTCCATGGACTCCTGTTCATACTAACATAGTCAAATCTATCAAACAATATGTTAAGACATTGCCTTGTCTTGGCATTCCCACTACTGATTCTTTTAAAATCATTGAAACTGATGCCTCTAATATTAGTTATGGTAGCATCCTTAAACAACGAGTCAGTCCAAACGCACCTGAACAATTAGTTCGATTCCATTCTGGTGTTTGGACAAAAACACAGAGTAATTATAGTACAATTAAAAAAGAAATTTTATCTATTGTTTTGTGTATTAGTAAATTTCAAGATGATATTTCAAATCAAAAGTTTTTAGTCCGAGTTGATTGTCAAAGTGCGAAATATGTTTTAGAAAAAGATGTTGAAAATATTGCTTCTAAATAATTTTTTGCCCTGCGGCAAGCTATATTAAGTATATTTGATTTTGATATAGAATATATCAAAGGAAGTAACAATTCCATTCCAGATTTTCTTACAAGGGAATTCTTGCAGAAATTTGCTGGCAGACTGACAGCCTCCCCTGAGGCCCTAACTAGTCAAACCTTTTGATATTTGCTCCGGCAAAGCTCCAGTTACCAGATCCCAGTCACAATCCTCTTCTGCATTAGCAGTAACCAATAGATTCCAACCTCTTGCTTCCCCATCAACTTTTAAGTCAGCTTTGGTCAATCTAACACCAGATCCTTTCCAAGTCCAACCCCAAGTTCAAACTCAGTCCCAGATCCAACAATTCACTGCTAAAAAACCACTGAGTCCATATATTGAAAAACCCCCTACTTCCTTGTTTTTCATTGAGCCATACCTTAGTCACATTAAAGACCCACTTGAATTGGCCCGCTCCTATTTTCCAAGTAACCTTCACTATGCCCCAGGCCATCCTTCTAAAACTCTTAGGTTTTACAGAGATATCCTGTACCATACTGAATCTATCACAGTCAAGACAACTTATGATAAGAATGATTCTTCCAAAGTTATTTACCATTCCCTATACATTCGACGGATAATCTCCATGAATGAATAGGGCAGTCACCCTTACTTACCTCAACCATTACCTGATCATAATATACAGTTTACGTATTATAATTATATGACAACCTGGTCATCCGTTCTCTTATACCAAAATGAGTCATTTACTCATTCATGGTTTATCAACTTTGATAGTCATTTCAAAAGTCAAATCCCTACCCGAGATGGTGGACTCTTCATGGTGCTATTCCAGAAATCCTCCCTCTCACCCTTGCAGATCAAGTCAAATACTTTCACACTGTTCACAAAGTTAGCAAACATAGTTCCCAATTTCTAGTACTCTTATTATTTTATTGTAAATACAAAGTCTCATGGATATTTAAATGGCAATATGATATCTAAGACAACATAGTCATCCGTCGCCACTATGTTAAATGGTGGGATACTTTCAAATTTGACAGGATTATTGGATATGTCAACGATGATTATCCCAAACAATCCTCTACCCAAGTTACTTCCCAAACACAAGTCACTCTTCAAATAAAGCAAGTCATTCAACAGAAACAGCCTTCCCCTACTGGTTCAACTGTTTCCACCAAGTCACGGTTGCAAACTCCCAAGTCAGAACTAGAAGAGCTCAAGAAGATGGCAGCCTCACTGACTGATCGCATCCAAGAGCTATCTAAAGATGAAGAAGAAGTAGATGATGCTTCCTCTGCTGCTGAATCAAGTCACCCAGTAGTCAATTTGTATGACGACTCTGTGTTCCAAAATAGTCAGAATCCATACCAAGATCCATTCAATTAAAAATTGATATGGAAAAAAAAGTCACTATTTGGTCAAAGTTACTATTTGCTACAGTAAAAGTCAAGAATGTTACGTAACCAGTCAAAGTCACTATTTCTACAGTAACTGTCGGCAGAATCACTGTTTCTACAGTACCCCGACAAGATACTATTCATCCACAGTGAAAGTTACTATTCATCTACAGTAAAAGCTGCCAAAAGCAAAAGTCACTTTTCAAAAAGCCAAGATTCGCGCTGAAGCATCCTCCAATAGTGTAGGAGCCCGGTTATAAAAGCAGTGCTTAGTTCCATTGCAATTCAGGCTTCATCCAAGAGATTTCAGGCTTCATAACATTTTCTCAGTTTCAAATTGTAATCTTCAGTTCAATTTTATTTATCTTTTCTGAGTGTAATTCTATACCAGTATGCTATATTTGTCAGACTACTATCAGTAATTTGTAAGTTTCTTTCAGTCATTCTCTGTTATATTAATATAAGTTTGATTTCAGTTACATTTACTTTTGTTTATTATATATCTTGGTCGGTTTTTTTTTTTTTTTTAAAAAAAAAAAAGAAAAAGAAAAAGAGAAGAAGAATAAGAAATTGTGATTAAAGTACTTTTCTATTTTGTTCCTAATAATCCTATTTAATTAAAGGGTAAATTACACTTACCTCCCTTGATGTTTGGACAAATCTTACATGAGTGGAGCGTATGATGTTTATTATTCTGATATCCCTCAAGACTTAAAAAAAGTCAATTATACTCTTATATGTAATGTATTTTTATACTACAAAAAATGTTATAAAATCTAAAAATATCAATTAGTTTATCTCATTTCTTTTATTACTTTCTCTCTCCTTTCCACCACGGTTACCCTCTCCTAAAAAAATATCTTGTAAATTAATAAAAAAAATAAAAAAATGAGTGTAAGGGTAACATGATCATTTTATGAATTTTTTTTTACAAAATTTGATGGATAGGAGGGTTGTTGAACATAAACCCAAACCTGAAGCGAGGTCAAAGCAATAAATCTTAAACACTCCATTTCTGTGAGATTTGTGTAATTTACCCTTAATTAAAGTGTGCGGGATTTCGTTGGATTAAAATGATACTTTTTATTTTTAATCTATCATCAAGGTAATATATATATATATATATATATATATATATATATATTTCTTAAACTAAAATCAAAGTACTCGATTTTATTTTTCAAAAATTGAATTTTTAGTAAATTGAACAATTGTTGGAGGGAAATTAAGTTTTAACAATGATATATATATATTTACCATTTATCTTATTACATAATGCATACTTATCATTTTATTTTGTCTATATATTTTCTTTGTCATATCAAAATTTCATCTTTCAAAATTTTCTAATTTTTTGAATTATATTTTCATCATTTCATATATCAAGACTAATATTGTAAGAAATATATTACAATTAATTTACAATTTTTTTGAATTTTAGTTTGCTCATCTCCGATTTCAAAATTTCCCCTAAATTCCAAACCATGAAAATGATAATTTACAGTATAATGTAAGTTTGCTGCTATTGTGAATCTACTAGTATAAAGTATCATAATAATAAATAAATAAATAATGACTATAAAGTATCCTAAAATTAATATAACGCGAATTTCCGATTGAAAAATAATAATAAAATAAAAATAATAAAAATTATTTAATTGTAGGGCATATAGAGTTCATACACACTGAAGACACGCTTCTGTAGAGAAGGGAGAGCCAGAGATGGAGGGCGATGTCGTGATGGGCGGAGCAGACAATGGAGCTGTCGTGGTTCTCTACTCTCTCTCTCTCTACTCTCTCTCTCCTTTCTGCTTTTCTGAAACCCTAACTTTATGTATAATTCATTCCATTGGTATTTGCAGGAACTGGACGAGATGAAGAAGAGGTTGAAGGAGATGGAGGACGAAGCGGCCGCTTTGAGGGAGATGCAAACCAAGGTCGAGAAAGAAATGGGTGCCGCCGTACAAGGTATTTTTCGTATAATTAATTATTTTCTTTTATAATTTTTAAATCTTTGTGTTTCGTTTGATATTGATTGAAGTTTTTTTTTTTTAATTTGGTTGTTTGTTCAATTTCAATACAACATCAGTCAAAATCATGTGATAAACAAAAAAAATTAAAAAATTAAAACCAATAACGAGAACAAAAGCAATAGAATACATGCATAGACAAAAAGATGGATATTCTATATCTTTGATTTCATTTATAGGGTTTAAAGGTCACAGTGTTTTTTTTCCTTCTAAAATTGACAATAAAATTATTGCCTATAACCGTTTGAAAATGTGTCCTATTATTGTATTTTAGCCTTTTGTGAGCTTCCGTCTGGGTAACACATACCATCAAACCTCTGTAATAACCAATGTGGGTACCCAAATCAGATTTTGTTATTTATTTATTTTTTTTAACATGACCTTAACAATAATAATTTCCCAAAAGTGCTCTTGTCACACTGGTTCTCATGGGCTTTATGTAAATTTGCTATGAACAGTTCTCTCTCTCTGTGCTTTTTTTTTTTTTTTTAGTGTATTTATTTATTATAAGTATATGAACAGGTTTCACCTTAATAAAGTACCAAATTGAGACATTACATGCTAGACTGCCTGCTTGAATTTGATTTAGAGCTCATTTAAGAATTATCTTGTTTTTGAGCTAGGTCCTAGGTGTTGTTTGTATAAATGAATACGGGTTGAGATTTCATTTTTTAAGTTATGTTTCTTTGAAGTCAGTACAGAGAAGGCAGATTTTTTACAGTGCTACTTTTTTTAAAAAAAAAAAATTTATGTGCTAATTTAGCCTCCATCTCAAACAACTATTATAAGTGAGAATCACGTGGGTTCACTGGTTGTTAGGGATGGCAATCGGGTGGGCTTGCAATGGGGCAGTGCCAATTTGGTTTTGAAGCTCTGTTGGCAGTACTGTATCAGATTCACTTGCGCACCTCCAAGTACTCATTATTTTATCCAGCTGAATTTAGATTTGCAAATGTGAAGGAACTTCTGTCAATTGATTGTAGCCTTTGTAGGACATTGGAAAGTCCACCAGCATTTTGGTGATTTGTTTTCCTTTGTTTGGCATTTCTGATAGCTAAAGAAGTAAGAGCGCCAATCACTATCTAACTTGATTTTTATTGATATGAAATCCAATCCCACTTTGACTCCATTGTGGGTTCCTGATAAAAAATGTCAACAGCTTTTTGGATCCTTTCTGATTGATAATCAATAAGATTGAAATATAGTTTACTGTAATTATATTAGTTAATTAGACAATGCTGAGGATGAGATGAAGATAATTGTGTTTGCTTCTATTCACCTTGTATGAGTTGCTGCTTGATGCTTCTCTTTATTTACTACTAGTAGTGGTGGTGGTGGTAGTAGTAAACAATAATCACAGATAATAACAGCAACAGCAATAAGAAATACATATTTAATAGCAGTAGTAGTAAATATAATAACAATAAGAAATACAAATCTAATTTTATCTGTAGATATCTTCTGCACTTTTCTGCTGCTTATTTTCTCTTATTCTTTCTTCACATTTCAGATCCTGCTACTGCAGCTGCTAATCAGGCAAATAGGGAGGAAGTGGACTCTCGATCAGTGTTTGTTGGCAATGTGAGACTGCTTCTCATATCTAATTCATGACCTACAGTTGTAGAATTCCATATTAGATTGCATATATTTTTCATGATGTTAAAGTCATTAGCCCTTTATTTTGTTTTCCATGATATTTTATGTCAGTCGGGTTCTGTTGTCGGTACTACAAATTAGTATACTTGCATTTGTTTAAATTGATAGCTTTTAGCTTTTAGATATGGTTCTGTGTGTTTCTGTTTTTCATACTATGCTTTTCATATTGTAGGCAAATTATTGCATGTTTATTTACTTGGAGGTAGGCATTGTGTTCCAACTTCTACCTGGCTATGGTCAGATAAAAGGTTTTGCCTGGACAACTGCTGAGATTTCCTTTGATTTACTCGAATGAATGGAAATTAACCCGTTTATTAAGCAGATTGAAACCCAATTATTATGGAGCCAATTGCCATTTTTGTATTGTTTACACGTGTCCAAGTATTGTGTGTCCGGCACGGGTACTTCACCTACTTTTGAAGAGTCCATATAACATAGGGAACAATTCTGTATGTATGTATCTGCAGTGGACAATGCAAGTATGCGGAAGGAAATTGGTGTATGCAAGGATTTTTGTGTGCTTATTAGATCTTAAAATTAGCACCCTTCTGTAAAGCTTAGCTTTTCAGTCTGGACTTGGGAAGTGTAAGCCTCGTAAGCAGATTTGTAGGTTTTTGAGAAGAATAAACTTTATATGGCCTAAGAAAATCCAATGAATGGGGAGTCGAAGGTATACCTTGTCACATTTAAAAGAAAAAAAAGATGGAATTGTATTCGTTTAATACCTTTCTTTACCATGGTGTTCGAAACATAGATTAAAAGATTTTAAACTATATAAAATTTTCATTCCATCTCTCTGTTGCATGTGTGTGTTGTGTATGTATGATTCTTTTTCTTCATAGATATTATTAATCCTTTGCATCCTTAACTCTCTTTTTCCCCTTTCCACGTGTTATTGTCAAAATTGTTCCTCTGTTTTCCTTGTTTTTTATATTGCAAAATTAATGCTGATGAAAACAATTGTAAAATTAGTGATCTCTATTGAATGGTTGCTTAGGAGTCTAAAACCTCTTCCTAAGGCTTTCAATGCTCTTCTCTGGGACCTACACCCCATTCTAGGATAGTGAAATGTCTTCTCTCAGGCCTTTGCATCTGAAACCAATGGTTGTTATTCATTCTTGGGATGGTAATTGAGTGGTGAGTTTGGTGGTTTTCTTAGTTTAAACTTCTTAATTCCCATGAATAAATGAAAGGATGCAAAATTTATATCTAACACTTCCTTTGCAAAAATTATCTAGAGCTTTTACTTTTCTGAAGAGAAAGTTATCAATGACATTATTTTTCCTGGAATATTTGAAATACCCTAAGATGGCAGTTTCATGATGACTGTGGCTTTCTTTTTCATACATTCTAACCAGACAAAAATATGAATTGACAAGGACTGGTAGTTTTTTTTTTCTTCTTTTCCCCCGAAAGGTAGAGTAGTAGGGTTGTGACATAGAGATTTGAGAATGACGGAGTTGGTGTGGGTAAAAGGTGTCTATGGTTGGTATTTAGGTACTGTGAGTCTGAGAGCTTCAATCGGAAAAAATAAAAATTAAGTATGTATGAGACAAAAAGGAGAAGCTTACCAGCAGCAGTGACACTGGTACCAGAACTGTACATAATTCTAGAATTCTGAAATTTACCCCTTCCACCTTTCGATTGACAATCAATTCTCCTCAGTTTTATTTTCTTCTCCTTTCGTCTTTTGGTTAAAAAATCTCAAAACTAAGAAAGTTACTCTTCTCCTGCTGTATAAATCTTTTAGATATAAACATATCCTTGTACTTTCATTGAGAACTGGAGAGTGGGAGATTTCATTCAACTCCTTCAGGGACTCACTTCAGAGCATAATCCAGAGTAGGGAGAACTTCCTTTTCATTTTTTTGTATTATGAATAATTGCTGAAAAGGCTATATAAACTAGTCTATTTTTAAATGTCATGCTATGTCCCAGAGGCCACAACAGTAGCTTGACCCTGTGGTTTTCGTCTAGCACCGTCAATTTGCTAGCCTTGGGAGACCAGAATTACCTCAGCCACTTATTTTAGCCTTAACCTAATCATCGGACCTTCTTTTCCTTATCTGGCAGTTTTTTCTTTTTTTGCTGATAACAACAGCATTTTCTGGGAGGATCAACAGAAGATCAGCAATTTAGTATGTATCTGCGGTTTGTCTAAGAAGAGCTAAATTTTCAACTTGAAGTTTGGCATGTTTCCACCAATGCTAAAAAAACAACATTGAATGTTATGACCAGATTTATTTGTTCAATAACAGATATGATTAGATTATTCTGTTGTATTTCGTTTTCTTGTCATTTTTTGAATTTTAACAATTTTTTTTTTCTTGTTTCAGTTACTGATTTCTTTTTACTCTATGATTTCTATATAGTGTAAAGAATTGGATGAGAGTTTAAAGTTTACCTTGGAGTATAATGTGTTAAAGTTAATTAATGATGTGTTGGAGTTCTTTCTTCTTCTTTTTTGGTTTAAAATCCTGCTTTGACTTCATGTTTGACTGCAATCGCAGGGTTTGACATTATTCTGATGTGAAAAATTCTTGTGCTAGCCAAAAAAAAAAAAAAAAAAAAAAAAAGAAAAAAAAAAGAGAGAGAAGAAAACAACTGTTTGGACAGAGTTAAGCAAAAAGAACAGGGAAAGAAATTTACCGGGGAAAGAAAAAAAAGAACGGAGAAAGAAATGGTAATGTTGGAGGGTGAGAGAAAATACGAAGACTAAAATCCCCCCAAAAGTAAATCTAAAAAAAAATAAGAAATGAGAGAAGATTAGACACTTAAGGTTAGGAAATATGATAGTGGAGAAGTTGGAAATAAAAAACAATGAGGGAAGAAAGAAAAATCGCTGAGCCAAAATCTTACCTTATGGGGAAAAAAAAAAAAAAAAAAAAAAAAAAAAGGAAAAATGAAGTGAAGAGGGGTAAAGAATAAATTGAGTGATCAAAGTGAGGAGTTATTGTATAAACTTGAGTTGGAATGAACGGGAAGCATGAGATCATGATCCTCAACCGGAACTCAATCAGCTTGGAGATGTAATGAGCTTTTGAAGTGTGAGACTAGCCATGGATCTATGCTGTCTTAATAAGCCAGAGCACTGCTGTTGCCGGAGTGCAATGCGCAGATACTGTGCTGTTTATGGTGAGGGGTCTTTGATCTCTCTCTCTCTTCAATTATTTTGTTTCCATAGTTCTGATAAATAGGGATGCTCTTTTTCTCTCTTTCTTCTCTATGATTCTTGTTTTCGATCTACCATAATTAATGATCCCTAGTAATAGACACATAAAAGAATGAAAGTTGAGGATAAGGGCCTCAAGCAAACTTTTAGCATTTTGGAGGAACAATAAGTTAAATTTTGAGTAATGGTGCATTCATGAATCATGATAGTTAAATGTGGATAAAGGTACATGAAGGTCCCTGTTTTTTTGTAATAGCATATTTTGTAAATAATAAGTGATTCTTTATGGTCGTTTTGTCATATTTTGAATTTTTACGTGTACAAATTTAATTTGGAGTGCCCTTGTTATGAGAGCATGGTTTATGAAGCACTTGACCCAAGATGGAATAAACAAAGCATTATTAGTATTGATTGGATCTTATGTTAGTTTCATTGGAATGACATTAATTTCCTCAAAAACTACACACCTAAATATTTTTTGTTAACCATTGGCCTGCTTCAAAAATCAAACCGTTTAAGCTTCCTAGGATTTCCTTCACCCTCTTTTCTTTTTTACTGTCCTCATTTGTGTTGCAATTTGTACCTCCACCCATAGGAAATTTATTTGGATTGGAATTCTTTATATTGGATGGCAGGTAAACAGCTACATGTATTTTATTGGTTTTTGTTCCATCACGAGATGTTGTGAAATGGTTCTAATTTTCTCTGACCTTTGTTTGTGTTCAATCAAATAAAGCTGCCTTTCTATGGTTCAGGTTATGGGACGCTGTATTTCCCCTCTGCTCAGTTTCTGTTTACCTGCTGAATTGTTCGTTTTATAAATAGAAGTGTTAGGGCTCTGTTATCTGGAGTATGTTGACAGTGCTCGCACTCCAAAGGTTTTACTTTTATATTTTTTTCTCGATTTGACAGGGTGGAAAACCACTACACCAGCCAAGATTGGGCAGTTGAACTGGCCCTTCCAAGCATTTTGAACTCTTGTCCTCTTACAAGCTAGAGTAGTTCATTTATTATTATTATTATTATTATTATCTGGAGGAGTTATTGTGTTTTGCTGCTGAAACTGATCTGCCAAATTTGATTTGCAGGTGGATTATTTATGTACCCCTGAGGAAGTGCAGCAGCATTTTCAGTCATGTGGCACCGTGAATCGAGTTACCATACGGACTAACAAATTTGGCCAACCAAAGGGTTATGCTTACGTGGAATTCGTTGAACCAGAGGCTGTTCAAGAGGCTCTGCTGCTGAATGAATCTGAACTCCATGGTCGGCAATTGAAGGTTGAACCAGTCCATATTCTTTGTTTCCCTTTTTAATAAATAAATAAAACCCTGTTACTTACCAAAAAAAAAAAACCCTTTATGATCCTGAAGCTGTTAATTTTAATTGATTTTGAATACATTAATTTTTCAACCACGTGCCCTCTTTCAATATTGTTGCAGATATCAGCTAAGCGAACAAATATTCCTGGCATGAAACAGTTCCGTCCACGGCGTCCAAATCCCTACTCGGGTTACCGATCCAGGACCCCATATATGCCTCCTTATTTCTACTCTCCATTTGGATATGGGTAATGTTACTATGGTTGTTTGTAATGCCTTCTCACCCTTATAATGGATCAACTTTGATGCACCAACCAGCTTTTGGTTTGCCTGGACCCAAAATGTTGAAGTGTTCATTTTTTTTTCCCCCCTGGTTGTTGCAGGAAGGTTCCCAGGTTCAGAATGCCAATGCGTTACAGCCCCTACTACTAAAAGTTAGTTTTTGCTCAGGATAAATACTTTTGCTACTTGATGGGTGGATATCCTTCAAACCTTTCCCTGTCTGTCTTGCGAATTCGGGAAGATGGAGTGGTCTTCGTGACACTTGGCCAGAGTGTTGGCTTGTGTGAGGATCAAGTACTTTGTTGGGTTTGGTGGTAAACATTGTAATTATGATGCCTAGTTATGTAATGCTGCTCACTTACGTGTTTGAACTGCATATGTGGTTTTATGACGGTTTCTAAATATCAAATTTGTATGGTCAGTTGAGCTTGCAATGCATTATCAATTTGCTTTAAGTTAAAGCCTTTGATATCTGCTGAGTTTGGGACATGAGAGAACTTAAAAGGGTTCAATGAAATGTTTCTTATCTAACCTTGGGTTTGTTTTGTGGAAGCAGAAGGAATTTGATTACAATCTCTCCATTTCTGTAAAATCCGGAATGAAATTTAGTTTGCTTGCTTGCACTTGTGATTTAGTTGGCTCTTAGAGTATGCTAAGATGCCTACACATTAACAGACTGCTAACTTTGATTTTGAATTGATTGTGGCCAGGATAGTGAATGCGAAAGTTGAGATATGGTTGCATATGCTCCGGCCCTTTCTTGAGCGGCTTTTTATTTTTTCGTTCTTGCCTGAAGCAAGACATGGGAGAGATCTGTGTCATAAGATGGTCAAGTAGCTCGACGATCATTGCCCAGATGCTATGCTATGTGATGCTTTGCCATGGCAAAGCCAAATCCAGCATGGTAGCATTTGGTAGTGGTGGATGGTCAATGGTTACGGCACAGGCATAGGCATTTGCACATTCTCAGTGCGTTCAAGTGTTGGTTCTGGGCATAAGTGTTGCTGGGACAAGGAGTGATATCAAGGTGCTATTGAATAGGCCGAGCCCTAATTAAAGACCCAATGAAACAGAACAGGCCATGACTTGGGCATTTTTGGACATGGATGGGGCTGTGGTATGCATAACAAAGTGGTTCTGGGCATAGGCATGGATAGACATGACAGAGTAACATTAGGCCAAGTTAAAGTCTTAGGGGTTACCAACGGGCTAATTACTTAACATTATCAGTCTCTTACTTCCCAAAAGGAGGTCAGGGGTTCAAGTCTCAGAAGAGACAAGTATGTATGAGACCACACATACAAGTGTTCTAGGGGTTAATTTGTTGTGGTCCGCTTTGAATCCACACATTCAAGTGTCCTCACACTTGCAAGTGTCGTCACAATTACCTTCTCTTGGGATCCAGTGTCCTCGTTCACTTGACCCGTGCTTATGCACACCCTCATTACCAGTTGGGGATTAGTTTTAATACCATTTGTCAAGACTACCCTCATTACCAGTTGGGGATTAGTTTTAATACCATTTGTCAAGACTAGTTCTGTGGTTAAACACGGACTTCCTTTGCCCCTGTTCTACTCCAATTTGGTGATTTTCACTGCCTGTCGGGATTTAACCGGAACTTAAAAAGTAACCTACCGCTTTATGTTTAATCATTCAGGTAACACAAATATTCAATTAGTTCAGACTTGTTTAGCACTAAATTGGGGGCCAAGGCAAAAACAAAAAGTTCTATAGTTGAATTGAGGACAAATGGTTGGTGTAACCATTTCGTAGGGTTATTTAGCCATTACTAGGGTTGGCATATAGGCAACCTTTGGTAGAGTTCGCAAACTTTAAAATTCCTTGCTGCCAAGAAGAATAATGTTTCGGTTCTGTGAATGCAATTAGGGGTTATATATATATATATATATATATATTGTGGACAAGATTTGGCTGATGCCTGATACAAAGGATTTTTTTTTACGCAAAGCAACAAAAGTGTGAGCAGCAATGAATGCTAGCGCACCATCATTCACCAAAAAAAAAAAAAAAAAAAAAAAATCAATATATACCACTAATACACACACAATATACCAAAAGTGGTCATTTATATTTTGTCAGCGAAGGAAATAGATCTACGGAGGTCTGAGCGAGGTTATAAAGGGAATTTAAGCACTGTTTTTTCAGAGCCTAAATCTTTGTATTGGGACTCATAATTTCCTTTTACATGTCAAAATCAGCCCACTTTTACAGAGGCTTTTGGTGAGCCTTTTATTTATTAAAGTTTTTTATTTCCATTTGCAGCCTAAGTATTAAATATTTTGAACCTTATTGATTTAACTGGGATCTGCTAAGCTTTATTCTCTTGATACCTTTTACCCATGTCTTGGGCTTTGTAAATTCACTTATTTTATGTTCCATTTGTGAATAAATTGGGAATTTCAATGGACAAAGTTTAGAATTTTCAGAAAAGGATAAAAAAAAATATATTTTTTAAATTATCTAAGATGAGCTCGACATATGAAATAAGTGAATTACACAATTTTGATTACTTAAAAGAATATTGCGTTTCAATCTTCTGTTATAACGAATTCTTTACTATAGCGTCCTTGTATGCTTAGCTCAATTTATTCATGTTTGATTATATTATTTTAAGTTGGAAGTAATGGTATTGTGATTTGTCTATAATTACATTATCTGGATTAACTTTGTATTACTGTACCTAAAGGAGTGAGTGAGATGGTTAATTAAGCACACTTTAACCTCTTAATGATTGGTATTATTTAAAAGTTAACAGAACTTGATTTAGTTATTTGGGGTACTTGAATTATTTAAATAGGGTCAATGAATTCTTGTGACTTATTTTTATTTATTATCTGGGAATTATTAAAGACTAATTGAGGAACCATCCACTGTATGGCTATATGTATATAACTACATATATTAATGATGGCAATAAGCCAGTCAAACCTAATCCAAAATAGTGGAGGTAATAACGACAACTAACAATAATGCACTAATGTGACTTAATAGTGTTAAGTGAATTATGAGTCTAAATAAACCATTCACATCAAGGAAAGAATTTAGTTTAATTTTTAATGATTTTGAACTAAATTTCTTTTTTTTTTTTAAATTTTATCAGTTTTAATTTCAATGTTCTAATTTTATGTTTGACGATGGGCAAATTAAATTGTTAAGCTGATTTGGTCATGCAAAATTTTAAAAAGTGGAATCTTTTCCTTTCTTACATTTAATAAAAACGACTTATCAAAAAATAATTTATATTTATTAAAGATAATAAATCAAAAAATTTAAATAAGATAATTCACTTTAAAAATTTAACCCAAAAATAAAAATCATTACTAGCCCGATTATCAAACTCCAATTCCAAGTAAAAACAGATTCGGAATTGTTGGAAGAACTATTTGGGAAGAGATTTTTTTTCAAAGACTAAAAAACAAAAACATATTTCAAAATTCATATGGTTAACAGTTTTTTAGTCTTTAGAATACTCTTTCTGTTCCAAAAAATTTCAAATTAAATATTTAAAATTTAAAAAGCAAATTAATAACTTTAATTAACTTTCTATATATGGCACACATGTCTTTATAAAAAAATTTACTATCCAAATAAATATTCTTTCGAGACAAGAGTATGATTTAAGAAAAACAAAAAATTAAAAAGTCACTTTTTGAAATACTATGTAATTTGGAAAACAGACAAACAAAGACCTTTATATATTGTTAGTTAATCCCTCCATTCATGTTTATCCAATAATGGTCTCCTAGGCCCCAGCAGGGCCAGCAGACCATTAATTACCACTTAACCACTCATTTCTATTCCCCAATTCCAAAATTAAAAAAAAAAACATCAAAATCCCACTAAAACCACCCCTTATCTTTACAACACAGCAAAACAAAACCATCAAATCAAATCCACCAACTTCTTTTAATATAATTTATCATTTTATTAATATTCCATTCCCTCTATTACACTACACTTCTTTTTCTTTTCTTTTTCTTTTTTAAAACAAGAATTTACACATCACACAAGACGACAAAAGCCCTGCAAAACGACACCGTATATCTACATTCCTACACATTCACACACCATATCCATGTTTTTTTTCCCTTCTCTCTCTCTCTCTCTCTCTCTTCCCATATCAAACAAGAGTCGAGCATGCTGAAGTTTGTGGGTCCCACATTGCCGGTAGAAGGTACTTGCGCCCGTTCACTCCGTGCGCATTGTAGCTCGCACCGGTTATTTTATCCACCAGTACTTGACCCGGATAACCCGGGTACGCCCCGGAACCGAAGGCACCCGTACAAGCCGAGACGGCCTCTAACGGCGCCGTTGGAGGACCTTGAAAGTAACCGTTATTAAACGGATTGGTAACGGCGCCGGCCAAAACGGTGGCGAGGTTGATGATCATGCCGTCAATTCCAACGTCTCCATTAGGCGCAACTAACGGCGGGGTTTGTGGGCCGTAAATGGGTTGGTGGAAGGGCCACGCGCACTGACCCGGACACTGGGTCTCCGAGTTACCAACCCAGGCGTAGGCAAATCTGGTCCTCCCCCGGGTCGACCCATGGGACCCACACCTCATGCAAAATCCTTCAACGGCGACGTCCTTGGCCGTTAAAACGACGTTGACGGAACTCACGTGACCACCTTTCGAAGCCAACGCTATGATGTGCCAGTTTTTCAGGGACTTCCCGAGAGAGTAATTTTCGACGAGGATTTGATTCGCTACGACGAGGGTGGACGAACCGCGCTTGTACTTCTCGGTGGTGCGCCACCATGATGCGGCGGAGGGGAGTGGGGCCCCGCTGGAGCTGAGCGACTGGAGGAAGTCGACTATTATGGATCGTTGGATGGGGGTGAATTTCCCGTACCAGATGAGATTGACGGTGATTTTGCCCTTGAGAAGAACGCCGTTGTGATATTTGAGAATCAAAGGTTGTTGTTGCACGAGAGCGGCATCAGAGGGTTCGATGAAGGTGCTGACAGAAATGAGCAGTAGTAGAAGAGAAGAGAGTGTGGCAAGACGGTAAATAGGAGCCATATCAGGGTGGAAGATAAGATATTCAAAGATATTGTAGGGAGAGAATAAGAGTTGATAGGATTGCTGAGTGGAGGAGGAGGGTATTTATAGTGGGTATGGATGCGGAGACAGCTGTAGAAGCAGAGGTGTCAATTTCTGGGGCGCCACGTGGAGGGAGGTGATTGGGTGTGGAAAGGGTGTTAATTGCCAGGCTGTAAGGGTGTGGATGACGTGGTGGTCTACTAGCTAGGAAAGGTCTGAGTGGTGATGGTGATTTTGGAGTTTGGACTCGATGGAGCCGAGGTTGATGATGGACTTGATCTGTGTATGCCCTCTTTGTCTAATTTAAGTGTTATTTTTAAAAATTGTGACTTTAATTTTTAAAAATGATATTTAATTTCGGACAGTGTACTGTAAATTTGCTCAACTTAAAATTTACTGAGTTTAAAATAAAAAAAAAAAACAATTTTAATAATATTTGTTCAATTTGTGTGTAAAAATATTAACAGGTTGTATTTTTATCAATAAGTGACCACTTAATAAAAATACACCGTCAGTAAAAATTGTTCCGTTAAAAAAAAATTAAAAGAAATTAATATGGGTGGGTTTTCAATTTTATTGAGGGAGGTTGAATGGTGTGTGGGACAATGAAAATGTTTATGGTATATACGCATGCGTGGTGTAATTGTGTGTGAGTGAAGGTGATGTGATTAGACCGGAGCGGACTGATATTATTGAGTGAAGAGGGGTAGCTGAAGCTAAAGCTACTACTGTGGCTATTACACGTTATGGGTTAGCAGAGGCAGAGAGTATGCTACTACGTACGTACGAACTGGTAACTGATCCATCTGAAGTACGATCCTCGTTGTGGCTGTAGGCCCATCCTGTGGGTCCCATCACTCTTAGCTGTGTTTGATCATTGCATACTGTTTCGAATCATGAGCTTCAAAGTAGCTTCAAGTTGGAAGTGTTGATGAATAACTTGAAATTATTGGTTCTAATATTTGAACTGCAAAAAAAATATATTTTAAAAGAAAAATTATTGCAAGGATATAGTGTGTAAGCAAGAAAATTTCAAATTTTATTTTATGCATTGATCTTAATAAATATTTAATTTTATCCTCTCTTTTTTTTTTTTTTCTTTCTAAATAGAATCAAACAGATATGAATGTAAATATACGTTACTAGGTTGTATAAACATTTATTGTCCAAAGTACTAATGAAATATATGTTACTAGAAATATATGTTACTAGATTGTATAACATTTATTATTTTATATTAATAGAATTTAACAAACTATTGTAGACTGTAGTTTTAAAAATTGCACAAAAAATAAAATAATCAATTCTTCATTTTAAGGAAAAAAATAAAGGAAAAATTACATATAAATGGAGTTAAAGTTTCATATTTACTTAGAGACTGAGTCAAAGTTCCATATTTCTCTAAAATGGATTGCTGAGGTGGCACATAGTTTTTTACTGTTTAGAAAATTGTGGTGCCTAAAATGCCCTTCCCTAACAAAAAAGTAGTACCTTCAATTCAAAAAAGTAGTACCTTCGCGGGTATTTAAAAAACATGGTACCTGGACACCAAAAAGTAGTACCATCGAAGAAAAAGTAGTACCTTCGCGGAAGGGTATTTTAGGCACCACAATTTCTAAACAGTAAAAAACCATGTGCCACCTCAGCAATTCATTTTAGAGAAATATGGAACTTTGACTCAGCCTCTAAGTAAATATGGAACTTTGACTCCATTTATATATAATTTTCTCAAAAATAAACTACTTCTCAAATTTTATTTGTTTACTAAAAAGTTTATTTATTAAATCACACTCTTGTGTATCAAATTTAAGCACTTTAAAAACTGTGACTCCGAGGGAAAGGACTTCATAAATAAGCACTGTACCAGTACAAAAAATTTGAAATTATAATAGTACGTACTACTCTACTCTACCAAATTAAGTCTAGAAGGTTCAGGACCACTGGGGCTAGTGTGTGACGCGGGCTAGTGAAGCTGCTGCATAATTGGCATGCATGAATGGGGTTGGGCCCACACAGGAGTTTCGACGAAAGAGATGAGGTCATCCTAGGTGGGCTTCACCCTTTAGGTGCAGACATCGATGGAAGTGCTTCACTACTTTAGTAATATATCATTATTGTAGTCCCGCATGATAGAAGCCGCCTGATTAATTTACTCAATACTGAACTGCCCTTTGGCCCCACCCTATTCTTGGTTCCCGAAGACCGACCTGTGAGCTCTAAACCCTATGTCCATCCATAGCTTTTGTGACCCTCACGAAGACTTTAATAATGTGTAGTATTTTTTAAAATAATTTAAGGATAAATTTCATTTATTATCGATTAATAGAAGGTCACTTTTGTCTTTTTAATATTTTAAAAAATAATATGCTATAAGTTAGTATAAAATTATAAAAATAACACATCTATCATTATCAAATTCGGCGGCTATGGTTGACAAGAAAGGTAATTATAATTATGAAAAATAGAAAGGTTTGTGTGAAATATTGATAAATAATAAGGGAGTTAAGTAAATTTATCTAAATTTTAATTATTGTATAATGAATATGGGTTAGTGGAGGGTATTATAGTAATATTAGTGATTTATATGGAGGACAGAGAGGAGCACCAAACCAAGGTTGGTGAGCTTTTGGGAGGTGGGGCTGTGGGTGGGTCTAGAAAGTAGAGACGGAAAGTGGGCTGCGTTAGCAGCAAGTTTTTGAAAAAATTTCTGGCTTACCAAACACGTTAGTACACTGTGGGGGCGGTGCCGACTCACTGGCGAGTTAAACGCTCCTCACTCGTTTTAGTCTACCATTTTGTTTCTGTCCTACTTTTTCTTTTCTTTTTATGCGCACTCTCTGTTTTTTTTCTGTGAGTTCAAAGTGTGAGACTTGTCGTTATTGATTCATTTGGGCCCACCAAGTGGGGTCAAATAACTTTTCAAATGCTGAAATCATCTCCCCTCAAAACAACCTTCCAAAATACTAGCAAGAAGGGGAATGATTTTGAGTCTCAACTTTATTGAATCATATTAGGCACAGCTGTTCGTGGTACTGCTCGATTCGTGTATAAATTAGGACTTATTCATGCTTCCGTGACTTACAGTTGTAGGGTCCATGCATAGGTTAATTTGCGCGATTTATATAGATATTTATTTAAATTTATTTCATTGCGACTATAATTATCACCGTAACTAAACTTATTGAACACAAAAAATTTTAAAAATTACTAGAGACCAAATAAGTTTCGTGTTGCAATGTAAAATAAGAATGGTCTAAACCAAAACGAAAAATCTTTCACTCACGAGAGACTCTGATTAGCATTTGTTGGGCCCCAGCATTCCACAGTCCATTGACTCCATTCATTCATGTACCAAGCAATACGTCGAAATATTCTACAGAGTGACACCAAAAGAAATCAAACGGCATTCAGTCTTGCCCCTAGCAATACGCAATTATTGAAGTAACTCTCTAAGTGACAAGAACGGTTCCTTTGACAACTATAATTGTTTTGTATAATTTTTTTAATCAAAAGAGAAGTAATGTTTTTTATTTTTGAAATGTGCTCAATAGTAGTATTTGTAAATCTATTTAGGAATGTATATTTGTTAAAAGTTTTTTAAAAGCAAAAATATGAAAACATGTTTGATAAAAAAATACTATAAGTTTGAAAAATTAAATGACTAGGCAAAAATGTTATTTTAGATTTTTTTTTCTAAACAATATTTTTACTACAGTGTGAAAATAATAAAAAATATCAATTTTTGGCTTCTAGTTTTGGGCTATTTTTCAAAAACTCTTCATGTTTTTGTTTTTCTATAATACATTAACAAAAACAAAAAAAATACAAAACAAAAACGATTACCAAACCAACCTAATGTAATTCAAAGTATTACCAATTAAATGTAAGATTAAAGTATTCTTACACACATTTTACTCACGGCAATCCAACTTCTTAAAGGTTACAGCGTTAGACTAATTATTCATTGGAGTCATGATCAATTATTATTTACTAATATGTCACTTATTCATACGGTCATACCGTATAGTGAAGAGACTCTAATCTTTTATAATGTTGACAAGAATTCTTCTTGTACTTGTTGAGTTGCATAAAAAATTGATTTTGTAGTATGTTGATTGTTCTAGCACGAGTGATGCTACAATAGTTATTTGTGGATTTTTTTTTTTTTTTTAAAGTAATTTTAATAGATAGAATTTATCAAATACTTTTTGTTTTAAAATACAAGCTCATTTTAAAAAATAATGGTTTTTTTAATTTTTTTTTATCTCTTATCATCTTGCATTAATCAAATTAATTTCATAATTTAGTTAAAAATTGTGAGTTATGCAATAGAATAGGGTGTGGAAAATGAGTTTTAAAAATTATTTTAGAGAGGGATTAATCACATGTTTCTTTATCTAATTTTTACTCTATTAAAAGTACCGATTAATTAACAATCACAGAACATAAATAATAAGCAAGTAAAGTTAGAGTGATGAGGAAACCAATTGGAAAACTTCGAGAATTTTTACGTTGTCCCAAGCATAAAAGGATCCATTATATATGAAATAAAGTACACCGAATTTTGACTCGAGTTCACACCTCTTCACTTTACCGACACTTAATCCGCTGAACGCCCGTGGCTTTGCAACTTCCCGTCTAACAGCTCCCGACATTAGACTTATGCCTCACAGGATTGCTAGTACATCAACAAAACTTTGCAAATACCTTGATCCCTTCAAAGTCTGATCGAAAAATCTTCTTCTTCAAATTTGAATTTGTTGTAGAAAGAATAAGATATGTTTTCTCTGATTGTTGTAGATTCAATATTCAATAGCTCAACCTCCATCAGGATTTGAACAATACCCTAATTCACTCGTGTGTGTATATAATGTGTATGGTCTCAGAAAAATCTCACAAAATTTAACTCTCTAAAAATATGAATTTTGATGCAAAAAACCGTCCCAACCTAAGTGAAAGAAATATGTTTTTATAGACTTTAGAAACCCTAATTGTACCTAGAAAACAAATCAATTTCATGCATGATCAT